GTTGGCATTACATGTGGGCTGCTGGTGCATTATGCGACGACTTGGCCACATCCACTCGTAATTCCCATTAATTGAGCTGAATGGGCAGGGTATCCGCGGCTCACATATTAAGTTACAGCGAGGTAACATTCGTTAAGACTCGGAGGCCCCTTGGTGAGTCGCGTGTTTAATAATAATCATTTCTTCGGAATATGCTTATGAAATATGTTTAAGTCATGGTCTAATTAAAATCAATTGCCTTAATTGAAAGCACAACACAAAAACTTGAGCGACTACCACATGAAGGTAGCAATTTGATCATACGCATAATTTATGACCAGCCTTAGCTGAGAGAGCGGAGAGAGGAGGGAGAATGGAGGAGAGATGCCGCATACCCTTTGGCAGAACACTCATGCGAGAAGCCATAAATCAGCATCAGCAGCTTTTCGACTACAAGTTTTGTCTCTTTAAATTGGCATAAATCTATAGTTGGAACTGAAGAATACTACATATATATCTCTTGCTCTATAGCCTCAGTACTCGCTGTCCGATGAGTATGTGGATATTCCTACGCTGACATTGTTAATTTTGCAAAATCTCGCGACAGCTTTTCGCTTGGGCGGCTTTTGGCAATTGGTAATTGCCTGTTTTGGCCAGGCCCTGAAACAAGTGCCATATTTTATTGGCCTGCCACTCGAGCGCTGATATATGGCCACAGAAATGATAAATCTCAGACATAAGTTTAATTTGGCCAGCATATTTGTTTATAAGCCATGCATTCGAGCCGCGACAGCAGCCAAATATTTGGTTCTTATCGCCAGCCAAGTCGCTGCAATAGCCCCAATCACAAATCATCTCCGAAATTGTTTCGAACTGTATGCAATTCTTTTGGCCCAATCTCGTAGCGTGGGCTGCCCGAAACTGCCATCGTAAATTATGTAAATTGGCCAAAACTGCGTTTTGCCAGCGACGCAATTATCAAATCTTGCCAACATCTCACAAGAGTAGTTCATGTAAACAAATGGAATTTGAGATTGGAATCAAGTAAGTGCCTATATATGACTGTAAACATTTTCAGAGTGAGTTACCTTAGTCATAAACAGTTCAGCGTTGGTCTAGTCGTATTCATATTCATATTCATGTTCATATTCATATTCATATTCATATTCATATTCATATTCACATTCATATTCATATTCATATTCATATTCATATTCATATTCATATTCATATTCATATTCATATTCATATTCATATTCATATTCATATTCATATTCATATTCATATTCATATTCAAATTCAAATTCATATTCATATTCATATACATATTCATATTCATATACATATTCATATTCATATTCATATTCCTATTCATATTCATATTCATATTCACATTCATATTCATATTCATATTCCTATTCATATTCATATTCATATTCATATTCACATTCACATTCACATTCACATTCACATTCGCATTCACATTCACATTCACATTCACATTCACATTCACATTCACATTCATATTCGCATTCACATTCATATTGGTATTCATATTCTTGTTCATATTCATATACACTTATGATCTGAACTTTATTCGTTCTTTCATTCATTATTTTAAAAATGATTAGAGTCAGTCGCTTTTCAATGTGTCTCCGCTAATCTTAAGCTACTAAAATATGTGAGACATCCCAAAACATATGATCACCGACCTGGCCATATATTATATCCAAAAGTAACTTGAATACGTCCCTTCAATATATTCTAATCTCTGCTTCTCTCATTGCATGCACATTGAATAAATTATAAGTGAGTTAGCGCTAGGCAGAAATATTTGCCATTTGGTTGGCAATTTTGGAAAGTGATAGGCATACCTCAATTTTAAAATGGTTCAACGCACTTACGGATGCCAACAACGAAATGTGAACATAACATTAAATGGGTTCATATACAACCCGCATATGTGAAAAATGTACAACAACAACTAGACCAGAGCAGAGCGAAGCAGACCAGGCCAAAGGCAAACAAAACAAATTTCAATTTAGCTTAAAGATTTTGCACATAAAATTTGTAACACTCAATTAGTTTAAACGACAACGAAAATGTTGCCAGCCAGCTAGCCAACAACAACAACAACAACAAACACATCAATTGCGCGTCATATGAAACGTTTTAGCAACCCTCGCTAGTGGCTCACGAGTCCCTGAGTAAATCGCATAAATGCGGCGACGTATGAATTTCATTTAATATGATTAGTGTGGGCTGCTGCTCCTGGTTTGCTTATGTATATTAGTGTGCGTGTGTGTGTGTTGTTCAAGCACAAGTGCAGTGGGCTGATGGGCGGGGCAGGCTTCATATATATATTGGGTCATAAAAATATTTACGCTGCATACTTGCGGGCACTGCAGCATAAATCAAGCAAACAAGAGAGATAGATAGAGGAAGAGGGGAGGTAGAGAGAGCTAGAGAGAGACAGAGCATCGCTTAATAAGAGTTAAAAGGTGGTGAAATACAGCTATCAACAGCTCTTGAGCCGAACGATGCGCCAGGGTTGCAAGGGCCACGAAAAGAAGCTGGAAAAAGTAGAGACAAATCGAAGCAGGCGCAGCGCAAAATCAATTTAATTTCGCTAATGTAGTGTAATACTCAAGCATTTACGGTTAGTGCCCGCTCGCAAGTGCTTCGAGTGGCGTTTGGCCTGGCGAAAACGATTAGCAACAAATGCTCTATTCGAAGCTGCTTTGGACATACCAACCCCAGTCTGTGCCCCTCGAGCTCTGCTTCCTAACTGAAGCTTTGTCAGGGCACTAAAACAAAATCTTCATTAATTCTGATCGATGAGCATAAATCCTTTTCGGTGTTTCACTTCTTTTGCTGTTGCTGTTGCTGATGTTGCATTGTTGCAACAATCAAATGATTGAACACTTACGAATGGAGCTGGGCAGCTCCTAAGACAGGATGAACATGGCATTTGGCATTCAAGGAGCAAGGACTAAAAGTAACTAGGGGCAACAGCAGGAGCAGCAGCTCATACAAATTCGACAGCTGAAAGCGTTTCCGGTTCCGTTTTCTTGTCTTTGTTTGTCTACATTTCTCGTTTCGCTACGCTCTTTACGTTTTTTCTCCTCTTTTTGCTTTGCCATTGCCATCGCGTTTGCCTTTGCCTTTGCCTTTGCCTTTGCTCGGCTTTTTGTTTTGCTGGCCATCGATGCAGCCGAGCGCGTTTATTTGTTGCTCGTAATTTATTTACTGTCCGCATCGGTTCGTAGTTCGTAGTAGCTGCCTCTAAGGATGCTGTCCGTGGCCCAGTGTGGCCAAGTGGCATGCCCCCCATACAGTTGCAACTTGTTAGTTAAATATTGCCGTAGTAGCTGGCAACTCTTCTTGCAGCTGCTTGTTGCTGTGCCAGTGAGTGATAAATTAATCGCTACATCAGTTTTTAATTCCGTGTTGCTGACGATTTATCTTTTAGCATGCGTTGGCGTGTGCCGAATCCAAACCAAACCATAAAATCTCTATGGCACACTGGCGCAAACTACTAGCCAAGGTGGAAATTTCCTTCAGCTGATACTTGCTATAATTTATTATTATTATATATATATATATATTATTATATATTAACAGTACCAGCTTCAAGTGATTGCCAGGTATGTGCTGTATGCTATATGATCTGATCTTCTATTTTATCAGTTTAGAAAGAGTTTAAAATGTTGTAAGAAGATTTTTAATCTGTTAGACTAGTTTCTATATGAATAATAAATCAAATCATAGCTAGTAGATAAGTAGTAGAATAATAGATAGTAGTAATAGACAAACTACAACTACTTCTGCATCTTCACTTTTAGAAATCCATATAAAAATGTGGTCCAAGTTATGAAAATTCTTTCTGTATAAATATATTAATTAGTTTCTTATTATAACATAATAATGATAAAAAAGGCTGAAAAAAACTTCCTTCTACTCTTTCAATCTTTGGATTCTAAAGTTAACTCAAATAATTTTCCTAGTTTTCGAAATATATGAAAATACAGAGCGAGCTTCCCCAAGTATGCAAATGTTTTTTAGGATATACTATTTATTTTCTAACTTGAGCCAAGCCATAGCAACTAGAACAATTGTTTAATAGATATAATAATTTAATGCAAAACTTAGTATTCTTTTCGTTTATAGTTAATGTTAATGTTAATTTGACAATTTAAATGTGTCAAAATACTTAAATAATTTTGATTTCTTTTCAATCCTTTATGTTCTATCTGGTTACTCTGTGGTGCAATATATCTTAATTAAATGTTCTATTTGCTGATCTGAGACCACTGTGACTCTGCTGGCAATGCATAATATTCCAACTGGTATCCTCATCCGCTCCGATCCTGTCCTGTCCCTTTGGCCTCTTCGATGTCGCGCGCTGTTTAAAATGATGTATGGCAAAAATTTTGACAAATGTACAAAAATGAGTCATGAGTTCGTCGTGCAAACAAAACGCGGTAGTTGTTCTTGTTGCCCAGTTGTCGTTGTTGTTGCTACTCACTATTTGCTGTTGACTTTTTCATGTAGTTGCCGTCGTCGTCAACGTCGCAGTTGTTGTTTTTATTATCCATAACGCAAACAAGCACAAATGCTGAATCTGAATCTGAATCTGGAGATGGAGATGAAGCCATCTACTCCGCTGCTTACACATGTTTTCTGCTGGCATTTCTAGGGAATGGAGTGGAGTGGAGTGGAGCTGGCTGACAGGACGGGGGCAACGTGGCCAGGAGCCAGCATTTATCATTTATGATTTACCTTGGCCTTACCACAGTCGCCGCCGCACGCAGCGCACAAAACTTCTCGTCAGATTGCCCCATTTGGCGCGGAATTGGTTTTGGAAATACAGGTTGACAAACTTTAAAAAATACATGGATGTAATCAGGATTATGACAAGGCTTTTGTGATATGTGAGTGAAATGAACTCAATGCCAGTAGCTGGAACGTGTAGGATCTAGTGAGTTTTGGAGCAATGTCAAGTCAAAGTCAGTCCGGTGTCTGTCATAGACAGTATCCACAGCGTCTGGGAACACGAGCTCCGGACTTCAAAAATATATTGTTTAAATACTGAAAAGCTCGTAGAATATGGCAGATCGGCCAAACAACGATAGAGGTAACAACAGCAATCATGACCGTGACTATCGAGGCAACTCTCAGGAATATCGAAACTTTCACAATCGCAATCGAGACTTTCGGGATCGCAACAGGGAGGTCCCAACCGATCCCCCCTACATTGCCTTCGTTGGTAACCTGCCCAAGGGTCTCGTCCAGGGCGATGTGATGAAGATTTTCGATGATTTCGAAGTGAAGAGCGTTCGCCTGATCAAAGATCGCGAAACAGACGAGTTCAAGGGCTATGGCTACGTTGAGTTCACAACACTGGACCAGCTAAAGCGTGCGCTCTCTCGCAACGGACGCATCAAACTGGACAACTTATCGGCACCGCTGCGCATCGACATTGCCGACCATCGGCGCCAGGGCGGCAATGGTGGCACCAATGGCGGCGGCGCTGCCTCGAGCAGCGGCGGCAATCACAATCAGCGTCGCAATTTTCAGCGCGACAACAGCGTCGGCTCGCAGAGCTACCAGGGCCAGTATTCGCGGAAACAGAACAGCCCTGGGCGCCCAGTGGGCAATCGATCTTCCAATAGCAACTTTCACATGAGCAGGCAGGAGAGCAGCCCGCGGCAAGGTGGCTATCGCGGCGGTCGTGGCGGGGGCGAGAGAAGGGGTGGCGGCAGGGGTGGTAGCGGCGGCGGCGGCGGCGGTAGGGGTCATCACAATAACGATGGCTACCAGACCAACGACGGCAGCAACAGCAGCGACTTTGGCTCCTTGGGCGGCGGCAGCCACGATACCTCCAGCCTGGGCAGTCCCAGGCAGTGTGTGGAGCCGCACATATCGTCGACGAGCTTCCAGAGCAGTCGCAGCTTTCCGCACTACACGAACAACAACAACAACTACAACAATCGGTGAGCATATTGAAGCGCTAATCCCTCTTTCAGTCACCTGTCGTAACACATTCGCCCGCAGATACAATGATCGCGGTAACAACAACTACAGGCGTGGCGGCACCCAGCGCCAGCGCAGCATCAGCAATGACAACGGGCACTATTCAAACTTCGGACAGAACCGAACACGAGATCGTCGCGGCCACTACAACCCCAACGAGAGGTACAATCAGCCATCGAGCGGCACGGTTAGTCCGCCGTTCTCCAACCTGGACGACGATGATCGCCCGAAGATTGTGCTGCAGCCGCGCACCGTAACCGAGCCTATCAATGCCCTGGCCGAGACGAAGCAGGCAGCGAGTATTTTTGGCAATGCCAAGCCGCGCATGAGTCAACCCTCTCCGCCGAGTACGCCAAATGGTGAGCCGGAGCAGCTGGACGATTCGCAGCCAGGTGGCAGCAACAAAAACGTGGAGCCATAACCCCACCAAAATATATATCAAAATGAATGAATGAAAAAGAAAAAAACATAACAAGTGTAGCTTAGCCAAAAATGCGAAAATTACTTAATCACCCTCAATCGAAACAACAACCACAACAAGAGCAGCTACGGGGAGCATTAACTATTCGACCAACCAGTACCCAACCGGCAGCCTACCCATTCTGATACAATCTATGTAAATATGTAAATATGTGTATATATATGTGCAGTTAAGTATATATATATGTATGTATATTCCATACACTCTGTACACACGTCTAGCAGAGTATATCACCATGGTGCGGCTCGTTGTAAACTCTTGAACATTTGAAATAAATTTCTACGTGATTGTGTTAATTTTGTACGAAATTTACACTTTCATATGCAGCAATTAAACTACCTATCACCAGTTGTACAGGGTATAGCCAGCTGTAGTAGGAGCTATTGTATACAATTTATTGTTACATACATGATAATAGAACTGCAGACGTTTGAGCTATGCAGACTGCTGAGAGACTACTAATATTTTCTCTTCATACGCTGAACTCATTCAGAATTTGAGCTCAAGTCTCTAGATCTTATAAATGCGAAAGATTTACTCAATTTACTCGGCTTGTCCTGATCAAAAATAGATATACTTTATGAGGTCTGCGACGCCTTCTGTTTGTTACATACAGTTTAACAAAGTTATACCCGATGGGATCAGAATGACAAGTTGTGTGTATACAGCGAGCTCTGCCTATTTGCTTTTCCTTTGACTTCCAACTTAATTCAAAATAAGTGTAAATTCTCACTCAAAAAGCGCTCAGGTGCTCTGCTGGAGTTGCCTTTTGAGTGACTTTTGGGTATAAAAGGGCGCAGCAGCGGCTGTAGGCGATCAGTCAAGTTCATGACTTGGACTGGGTTACAATTAATTTTTTTTTGTTGTGTAAATAATTTGTATTTAATATTGTATGTTGAAGTTTTGTGGTTAAGAAATATTTAAATATATATTTAAGTTTTTCTTGCTTTTTAGCATTGTATATTTGTTTAACAAATATTCAAGTGCTTAAATGTTAAATGTTAAATGTTAATTGGTAATTATCATTAACGTTAGCAATCATATGATTTTTTCATAATTTTTTTTCGTAATGTAATAATTTATTTTTAGCTATATATGCATGTGGGTTCAGGTTCTCTCCTGTTTACTTGTTTACAACTATATATCAGAAAATTAGCAGGGAAAAGTCAGCAGAAATATAGAATATAAACGCTGCTAAGAATTCGGTTTTTTATTTTTTTTCAAGCAAAGCTCACTGTATCACTTCCTTTTGCGCACTCTCAGTTGAGTTTCTGCACGTGTTTCCACTGTTACGTAAACCGGAATCTGTTTTGGTTATCTCTTAATTAGCCTTGAATACAATCTTCGCCAGCTGTTGGTTGGAGCTAGGGCTTTTACGTGGGACATAAATTTCAAAAGTTAATGCGCAGTGACAAAAGGACGGCATAAGCGCCAAGGCAAAGGACATGACCACACGACTAACTACCGCTTGCAGGGACACGGCACACCTAAGCGGGACAGCTGGCGCTATGAAAAGGACATTCGCGAATGGTTCGCGCGGCATTAACTAGTCAGCTCGAACTAATTGAATTGAATGAGATTAAAGAATTTCACGCCGAACTGAAGATGTCGCCGGCCAAGCGCAACGTGATCCGGACGGCCAGGAGCTTCTGGTATTTATGGGCCAAAGATTTACGAGCCACAACAAGGCACTTAAAGCTGAAATGGAGCCGCATCCTGGGCGCTTGGGCAAATTGGCTTAATTTCTTTTTAATTTGCTTCCGCTACTGCTCCAAGAAATTCAATTTCAAAAAGTGCCCGCCCGGACATGAGGTGCACAGGACACACAGGAACTGGCCGCTCGCTACGGCTTGTTTCCATTTCGATTCGGTCCGAGGCGGAGGCAGGGGCAGAGGCGGAGGTGGAGGCTGATTTGCCTATGCGTATACGTATGCCCCTGACCCAAAGTCAATTTACGCACGAACATTTTCAATTTACTGAGACGCCCAAACCGCAGGACCCCCCGCCTGAAGGAATTGAGCTGGCCCCGCCCCCCGAACGGGGACGCTGCACTTTATAGAAATCCCGCGTAAAATTCACGGCATTAAAGGACTTTTCTTTCAAACATTTTATTTTTTTATTTCTTTTGAAGTTCGCCCAGTGGCCCCGTCATATTATTTGCCTTTTTTTGCCTCGCGCTCTCTTGCTCTTCTGGTTAGCACTTTTCCGCGCTTTTTTCCTATTTTCCTCGCGTTTTTTCCTGCGTTAATGTGTCACACGCACTTTATAAGCAATTGTTGTTGGCCTCGTTGGCGTCTGGCAAAAGTTGACGACGTTGACGCCCATGGCGCAATTATTATGATTATTGGGTACAGCTGCACTTGGCCAGCAACAGGACCCGCCAGGACGACGATGACGACGGCCACTTATAAGCGAAAATTGTAATTTACCTTCAGCATCGAGACGCTCCACTCCGAACGCCTTCTGCTGCCGCTTTTTGAGCCACTTTCATCAACAGCAGCAGCAGCAGCAGCCGCCAAGTTGAAGTGTTGTCCTGTTGTTGTTCATTAGGATGGGTGGCTGGTTGGACGAACGAACTAGTATCCTGTGCTTTGGACGCTGTTAGTCGCCTCGGGGGTCACGCGCTCATAATCGCGCTGAATGACTTCATAATGAAAATATTAAAGGTGTTTTTTGTTATGTTGCTTAGCCGGCGGCCAGGATACATTATTTGGCTGCCCCAACTCCTGGCGCTGTTTTGTGCCCAGCACAAAAGACGCCCAGTTTATGTTTATGTCAAGCGCAAAGGGGCGGCACAATCCTTAGCAGAGCAGGGCGTAATTTAATAATAAAGCGCCTTCTTTTTTTTCATTAAACGTAAGTGCAGTAGCAGCAGCAGGGGCAAGCATTCTTGTGGGTAAAGCCAGACAAAGATATACGACGAGAGGCTGCAAAGAGTTGACCAAAGCAGGCAAGAGAATGTGGAGTGCAGTAGTGAAAATGGGTTTGGCAAATATATTTATCATTTTCATAATTTCATAAGCTATAGCTATATGCTAACTAGCTTCATCGCATCACATCATATATAGAACACGATGTCATTCATTTGGCTACCAGAGCGGGTCCTGCAGTGGTGCATCATGTTATTTCAGCTTTTCTACAGCTTAATAAAGTTGTCTGGCTCTATTTAACGAATACTATCTATGGATTTGCCCACGATAACCTTGTTATTTATTATAGTAGTAATATTGTCATTTAAATAAAAAATAAATTAAAAATGAAAATTTCAGTCAGAGGACATAAATGAGAAAAGTGTCTCTAACAGATTGTATGAAACGGCGCATAAGACAAGAGGACTAGCTTGTATTTAAGCTTACTATTTATTTTAATATTCAATTGTCCATTAACCCTAGTCAAGCTTTACTGTATACTCCACCTTCCTCTACTTCAACCACAGTTTTGCTCCTGCTCTGACTTGCCTTCATAAAGTCCGCTACGAGCATTTGCAGTTAGTTCATAGCAGCTATCAGCAATCAAATTGTATTTGCGCTTTCAACAAATCCCAAGAAACAATTAAAGAGCAAGTCCGAAGAGCAGCAAGAATACATACATATTTAAAATATAGTTGTGGCTAATTGTCATGCTATCGACGGCGTCTTATCAGCAAACAGCAACAAACAATTCAGCCAAAATTTATGCAATACAAACGAGCTGAGGGGCCACACTCACCCAGTGGTCGGTAAGTCAAAACAGTTGCGTCTCCAGTGGTCCAACGGTTGGTGGCTATTAAAATGCTGGCATTTGCAGGTTTATCTAGAGGCAGGACAACAGCTACGAGTCGGAGATAATGTATCGACAGGACACAAGGAGGTGAGCGCAAATCTAGACGTGGCCATTAATGAACGCTGCCTGGGCTGGCCGTACAGTGGACTCCATTAAAAAGGACTAAATGGCAATTAAACATTTGAGTTTGGCCTAGCACGCTGACCGTTGCCGGCGAGTTCTGGCGCTGCACAGGGGTCAGCAGGCAGCGGCAGAGCTGAGCAATTAAGGCTCCCTTTTGCACTTTTGGCCAAGGACACTTGGCAATTAAGCCGACAACGTTTCTGGGCAAAAGTTGTCGCTGACCAATCCCTTAGCGGCAATTTTGGAGTGTCCTGTCTCTCTGGCTGTGTGTGTGTGTGTTATCCTTTTACCTATCTCGACTGCTGCTGCAGTTGCTGTTGTTGCCGGCCGAAACTTAAATGAGTTTGTTGTGCAGCCCCAAAGAACATTTAAATGAGCTGGGCAGAAGTTTTGATTGGCTCGCTCAGAGATTTATCTGTGCGCTCTTAAAGCAGCGAACGCAAATTCAAATACCTTCCAATCTAAGACAAAGTCCCATTCATCCAGACACATGTGTAGCATGTAGTAGTACCTCGACGTTGGTGCCGAGGGCGTGGCTCTCACGCGCGACCCAGACACAAACACAGGCAAAGGCACGGGCACAGGCACAGGCACAGGCACATTCGTCGATATGCTCATTTAAAATAATTTATTGCAATGAGCTGACACTCATTGCCAGTTAAAAGTGGCATGCCACGCTGACACTTGGAGCGTTTGCCGCACACACGCACACATACTTAGGAATAAATATATAAATACTTATCGAGTGGCAGCGGCAAAGATAAATTGCGCAAAATAGAAAAATGCTCTAATTAAAATTATGCACAAATATTTTGGGAATTCGTTTAGCCATGCGACACAAGTCGCATTCAAGTCACATGGAAATCTTTGAAAGTCTTTCAGATTTGGAAATCTTTTCGGGCTGCTGCTGCTGGTACTGCTGCGCTCTTATTGATGGCGTGCCAATTAAAATTGATTGGAAATTCCTTGCATGCCACGCACGTGGGCGCCACCAGCTGCCCCTTAAGGAGCGCTCAGTAGTTGCTCGGCAAAATACCAGCTGCATGCCGGGTTCATAGATTAGCATACAGACAAACACTGGGAGAATGAACAAAGAAGTCGACAGACGACTTGAGAAATCGTGAACTGATTTTAAATATTAAAGTTTATATGAATTGCAGATAGAGTCGAGGATGAGACTTAAGTCAGACTTAAACTCTATAGAAACTACAGACTGAAATACAATTTTTATATCTCAATATCTAACTACTGGCATATAACATGGCAATTTCTCTAAGTGTATGCGTTATGAGAACAGCTTTTGAAGTTGTTCATCGCCAGACTTTGACCATTTCGGTTGACTGCATTTGAAACTCATTTGGCGACTCCTCAATTAACACTTTTGTTAAGTAAGCCATAAAAATTGAAAATTGGCAACAATTGAAATCGAGGCAGATGTCTAAAGACTCGC